AGAGAGAGAGAGAGAGAGAGAGAGATAGAGAGAGAGAGAGAGAGAGAGGAACGAAGTTTGCAGTAATTTCAGTAAATATTAAATAAAATTAATGTAAACTTTAAATTTCACTCCACTTTATCGCACAATCTTTTCGGGAATTTTTTTTTACTGAAAACTACATTTTAGTCTAAAAGTGTTTTTATCCATTAATTGTTAAAATGTAATTTTGTGCTAAAAATACTGCCTCTTATTCTTCTATTTGATTGAAGAGTATATTTAAAATAATTGAATTTTATTTTTAGGTGCATTTCTAGACGCCGTCAGATACACCGTCCCCATTGAAGAGCCAGACTTTGTCGGTCACGTCCCTAATGTGACCGCCGCTATCGGCAGGGATGCAAAAATACCATGTATTCAATTCATTTTATTACATTTATCATTTTCAATTTTACGTTACATTTATATTTATTTAAATTTATTCATTAACAGGTATTGTCAACAATTTAGACACCTATAGGGTATGATTTGTTTTTTGTCTTTTTTCTACTGAATATCTTGTTATTAAATAATTTATAATATATATTAAACCTAAACTTTTTGCTTACGTAATGCTAAGTATTTCCGTGACTTTTTTTTGCACAAATTACATTATTTTCTTTGAATTTACTTTTAAGATCTCAACGAAAACTTCAAAATTATTTTTAAATTTTTATACCTCTAGGCTATGATTTATATCAGGAAAATACAAAACAAATACATCTCTATATCTTTCATATATATTCAGTTTTGGATTTGAATTATCATTTGAAAAGTCTTGAAATAAATAGATGTGTTTAGAAGTAAGTTATATAAGAGTATAGAAAAGAAGGGATTGTATAAAACGGGAATGTAATTGATTTTTGAATCGAAAATACAGTAATTTAATGCCAACTGTTTTGTAACTATATTTGTGATGACATTCGTATAATCTCTCGAGTGTTTGAATTATTGGTTCACAGCTATTGCTTACACTTTTCAATTGATAATTCTTTAAATTAAACGTCAAATGCATTGATACACTAAATTCCTTATAAATTATGGCCTCATATTTAGTTATGATAGTAATGTTTACCCAATTTTACATTTATTTACTCAAAACCACTTAATGTTATTAAAGAATTATGTGTTTGGAAATGGGGATGATTTATATTATGTATTCATTTGCGAATTCATACATTATATCAAGATTTTAATTCAGTCATGAATTCCTATAATTGACTGATATGTTGACTGTAGATAATATAAAACTATATCTCATATAAAGTATGATTTACGTAATTGTAATTTTTCAATATACAACATATAGTATTAATATAAATAATTTCTTTGATATAATAATAACAATAATAACAAAAATATGGTATATGTTACCAGAAAATGATACCAATTGTTTGTGCTAATACAGGTGGCCTGGCTTAGGGTTGAGAGCAAAACAATTCTGACAATTCATCATCACGTTATTACTCGCAATAATCGGATCAGTTTAAGTCACAGCGATAACAATGTTTGGACATTACATATAAAGAATATCCAGGACTCGGATCGGGGAGGTTCTTATGATTCTCTCTTTGTTTATCTCGTTATAAATACTTTAATGAATTATGAAATGCATGTTTGTATTAATCCGTTTGCGTCTTATAGGCTACATGTGTCAGATCAACACAATGCCGATGAAGAGTCAGGTGGGATACGTTGAGGTGACGGGTAAGCATCCATTCATTCACTTATTCCTATACTTGTCTCCCAATGTTTCCACTCATTTGGTGGACAAACATAACAATGACTTAACAAAACGTTTAAAGCAATATATCGGTGCGATTGTGGTGTTTATACCGTTCATAGCATAAAGCATTAAATTGTCATTTTTATTGATGCTATTTATATAAAGGATAGTATAGTTAGTGTATTAAAAGCGCTGTTAGTTTCCAGCCATTTGTGCGGAAAGACAATGAAAAAAGCGCTGACAGAGAAGTAAATAATGTTCACAATATAAGGGATAAAAGATAATAACGATTTTTCATATTATGTTAAATATATGTAATTAAATGATCAAAGTTTTGCTCAATTACTGGAGCTTTTGTGTTAATCACATCATTGTTAATATAGCAATGCATTCAAGATATTAACTGCAACTCAAAATTTCTCAAACTTTCTTTTTGATTATTAAATTAAGTTTGTCTTCAAATATAAATATCGCGCAAATTATAAGCGAAATGCATATCAAAATTATACTGTACTTATTGTTAATCTACATTTGCATACATTTTTTCGTGCATATTATATAAATTGACTGTATGTATGCCATACAGTGTATGGTATGGTATAAGTAGTAAATTTGTCATTTCAGAGCATCACTACATCCACCGCTCAATTCAATCCTTACTTTCATTTTTATATTTTGTTTCAGATATTTGTAATTTTTTCTGACAAAATATCGGTAAGAAATATTGGCGTGATTTTCATTTGCATTGCATTTATTACAGTTATATTACAAAATAAAAATCTTGATTTCAGTCAATTTCAGCAATACTTTATATTTTGAATAAAAATTGTATTTTTAAAAAATAAATTCAAATACACATTGAATTATATTTGGCTCCAAACGGAGAATTGGTTAATAATATGATTATATAGTGAATCGCATAATTCAAATTGAAATGAATTATTAATTTATTTATATATCGACTCTTTGATAGTTCCGCCGGATTTTATCAATTCAGACACGAGTACTGATGTGATGGTGAGGGAGAACCTCAACGTTACGCTGAAATGTAAAGCCAAAGGACATCCCGACCCCCGGTATTTGTCATACATTATTGTTTATTAATCAATACATTTGTCGTATAAATATGTAATTTAATTTATATAAAGTTTGCACATGTATGCATTTGGCATAAATTAACCCATTATGCTAACGTATTTTTCATAGCAATTTTGCTAAATTTTGATTTTGTTTTTGAATTTATTTTTGCTTTGTAATTATAATGCACAATAATTTCTACTGTGTGTGAGTTGGGCACTACTTTTCATAATATTTTTTTAGCGGCGTATAATTAACAACAATTTAATTTAATTTTGTTTAAAAGTAGTACACTTACAAATTTCAAAGAAATTAGGCATATTTACAAAAACACCTAATTTTCTATATTAAAAAATAATTTTAAGCTACACTGTGTCAATCTTTTTATATTATTAGTATAGTTTTGGTGATTTAATTAAATATTTTGCAAATAAATATTATTAATTTAACATAAACTTTAATATTGAATATATTTTTAAAAATAAAGTATTTGGGAATACTTTCTATGCATACTAGTAATGGTTAAATATTTCATTTATAAACGTTTGCGTTATTTTTCGGATTTTCTTAATTATAACTAAATTTAATGAAACAAAATATTTGTTATTTATTGTATGAATTGTATGCATCAAAAGGCATACCATATAATAGTTTTGCCGCCTATTCATTGTCTAATTTATTCAAAGTATAGATTAGATATATTTGCATAAACTATACTCACTATTAATTATACTGTAATATACTTTCAGAATATTTTTACATTAACGGTACCTCAATTCAAACTTTTTAATTATATACAAAACATTCATATAGACGCTTTAATATTAAATGAACTATTTTTACCTGAATAATGAATGTTTTGAATTAAATTCAACATCATACTTATTCAAAGTGCATTGCAATGCTAACAATGTTAACAACAACTTCTTCATATTTACCACATTTAAGCTTACTTTCACACGAAACTTAGTGACCAAGAATAAATAATTTTGCGTTTAAATAACTAGTAGATTACAATGTTTTTATATAATTTAATTTACAATATTAATATCTATAACAATGTATTTTATACTATGATAAAATTAAATGAAAATATTATCAACAGCATTTATAATTTATGGAATAAATGATGATTTAAGCAAATTTGCATTTAAGTTCAATTTATATTCCTTATAACTTGTAATTATAAAATATTAGATAAAATATGAAATTAATGAATAGCGACAGCAATTGGTTATGATTTATATGAATCAAAAGTAATGATATATAATATGATGTATTATAGGCTGACGTGGAGGAGAGAAGACAATCAGCCGCTAGAGTACG